CCGCTCCTATCCTATCACCAAAAGGGAAGTGGTGGGTTAATAATGGAAGGAGACACAATGGGTAGCAGCCAAAACGTTGCAATTTCACATAATCCTGACGAGATCCGAAAACCCGTAGCAAAAACTAGCAAGCGGGTGATTATGTATGTTCACCAAGTAAATATTATGTAAATAAACCCTACACTTCTCGCTATAAATGTAATCAAAACCCTTTTAAATGCAGAAACTGATTGAAATTATTGATTTTCCCACTAAAAGTTAGAGAAATCTCAGCCATGTTTATACCAAAATGGTATAGGCAGAAGAAACGTAACAGTACCACAAAAAAATGGCCATTAATGTACCTCCACTACGTTTTGCAATGTGGACCAACGTAGTGGGGGTACATTTTCCCATGAGACTGGGTTGTTTACATGCACCAAACTTTGACAATCCTGCTTTCTTCTAAGATGTTTTTCTCTTGATATCTGATCTAGCAACAACCAACTTGATGGAGGTCAGCGGTGCCCAGAGGTGCCAGTATACGGCAGCCTCGCTTCTGTCAGTGAGCCCCAGGGCAGCTGTGGCTACAATGTATTTTGCCACCACCAGTGTGTGAGTGTGTGCGTGAATGGGTGAATGACTGAATGTAGTGTAAAACCCTTTGGTCAAGTCTCCTTACTTGAAAAAGTGCCATATAAGTACAGGCCATTTGCCATTTGATTCTAGATGGTGATTTTCACTGTGTTCAGTTAGCCCTCACAAATATGCAAAATAATCTGACCAAGTCGCTTAACCTGGTTGATATATGGAGGAATCATGATCCGCTAGAAAGAATATTATTTTTTTCACAAGTTCACAACACATACACTGGGAATTATTATTTTTTGACAGACTCCAAACTGACAGCAACTATTAAGTCATCAATCACCAACATTTTCATCTCAGACCATAGTCCAGTTTCTATGGGTGTGGACTTTGGACTGAAAAACCCCATAGTATAATTAGCCATCTAACCCAAGCTTGTTTAATAATAAAATATTTTTTGAAAAATTTTCACTTCCGATAAAGGACAATTTAGCCTTTGACAACATAAGTTATGTTTTTGTCTAATCTCTGTGGGAGGCCTTTAAGGTTGTCATAGCAGGTTTTGTTTTATTCAGGAACTTTTACAAAAATGGAATAGACCCAAAGCTCCGCAGCTGAAGAAATTATTTTTTAATCCTTGCTTACCCTTTCGCTCCCTAAATTAGAGTGCAACACACAGAGCGAACTTAAAGCGGAAGATCTGGCGCCTATTGTCATGATCATGTCTCTGAAAGCTTACCTAATTGCTCATTTCACTCATCTGTCTAACTCTGCCCGGTTACCAATTATCACTCATCATATCCACCTGCTCCTGCTGCTTTATAAATGGCTCATTCCCAGCTATCTGGGGCCAGATCATTTAATTTGTCTCATTGAAGTTTGGCTTTGAGTTTTGGATCATTACTGAGGCCATATTTCATGTTCTTGTTCTCTGAGGCCAGTGGTGAGAGAGGTTTCAAGAATTTCGTATAGTTCCTCATCATGTCAAGTTTGAGCATACCATAGTTTTTCTGCCTTGTTCTGCCTCTCTACTACTGAGCTTGCTTCTTCCCACCTGAACGTTCTGCCTCAACTCTTCGTGGACTCTGGAACCCTGGACAAGCCTATTCCTGTTCTGATCAGAACCCCTACTGGGCTATGGTCTACTGGATCTCTGAGCCTACCTTTTCTGAATAGTTTCCCTGACCTGGCTCGGATTCATGCTTGTTCACTGGAGCTGCAGCATCTGGTTTACTGTTGGTGGCTCACGCCACATCTTGTTCGCAGTCCATCGGCTGGATCCTACCTCGCTCTAAGAAGATGGACTGAACTGTTAAACCAGGTAAGTGACTCACATGGATAATCATCTTCCGTCGGATTATCATGGATTATCATGTTTTTTTTTATTACCATCAGTGGTGTCAAAAGTACAGCCTTTTGTTTCTTAAGTAGCAGTATAGATACTGCCGTTAAAAAACACTCTGGTAAAAGTTGAAGTATCAACTTGTCCTCTTTTCTCAAGTTAAAGTGAAAAAGTATGTGCTCCTAAAACTACTTAAAGTATAAAAGTATAAAGTAACCTTTAAAATAAACAGCCAGATGCCACTATATGATTTGAAAGCAACATTTTTCGAATATGTCGAAAAGATTTTTGAGATAGGGCGAAGTTGGTCTCTTGTTGATCTCTAGCCTGTGTCCGACCTTTCAGACATTTCAAAATCTTTTTCTGAATCCGACATTGTAGCATGGCATAGACAATTGACGTTTGCAGTTTGAAGAACACCTGCTTGCTTCTGATGATTTCCATTAGCTAACCAATGAGTGTTTGCGTTATATGACTCATCCAATTACACTAGTTTTCACTAGATGTGGATGGAGCCAATGATCTGCATTGGATGGCGCACATGACGTGAAATAAATATTTATAAACATTAAACCGAAGCCAAGAGTAACGAGTAACGTTTGTTTTAAAAATGTAAAGAATAGAAAGTTGTCATGATGGGTTTCAGAAAAGCCCAATATGCAGAACACAACGGAGTCTGATGAAAAGTTTAACGAGTTTATTTAAGCACAATAACATGAACAATGATCCTGGAACTGGTTCAGGCAGGGGAGCAGGTTCACTGGAGTCTTGATCTGAGCTTCCAGCTCACTGCAGAGAACAACAGGGAATAAACACAAAGGATTCTTCAGGCTGAGCTTCCAGCTCTTTGCAGGGAACAACAGGGGGATATCCTCATAGGATTCTTCAAGCTGAGCCCTCAGCTCATAACAGAGAACAACAGGTAAAATCCACATAGGATTCTTCAGGCTGATTCCACATAGGAACCTCCAGGTAAACTCCACATAGAAGTCTTCAGGTTACATCCACGTAGGAATCTTCGGGTTGGCTCACCAGGGCAGATTAGCAGGTTAAGCTCACCTAGAGCTTCAGGCTAGAGACAGGTTTCCTGTGATGCAGCTCTCCCAGAGCTTCAGACCAGAGACAGGGTTCCAATGAGGCAGCTCTTCCTGAGCTTCAGACCAGAGACAGGTTTCCAACTAAGATCAACACTGCGGCGTGGAAGCAAGGTCTGGCAGGAGCTTATAAAGGGGAGGTCTTCAGATGAGTAGATGGAAATCAGGTGTGCTGGAAGGTTCCAGCTCCAGAAGACCCACGGCGCACTCTGCTGGAGACAGAGGGTAATCTCCAGATCCCCACAGTAACTCCAGCCCTAAGGGAAAATAGCAAAGAGCAGAAGGGGATCCTCGGCGCCCTCTGGTGGGCAAGCCTGAGGATCCCAACAAAAGTAAAGATACTAGTGTGAAAATGTAATGAGTAGAAGTCAGAAGTAGGAAGAAAAACAAGTAATGGAGTAAAGTATAGATACCTAAAAAGTGTACTTAAACACAGTAAATAAGTATTTGTACTTCGTTACTTGACACTTCTGTTAACCATAGTTACCATTGATGGATAATGCCCCGCCTCCCCCCGCAGCTGCTGCAGATCCACAGTACCGGTTCCTGATTTTGATAAATGCTTTGAATCTTCCCACTGTCTCGCCTTGAATATTGGGTACTAAGTTCTGGGCTTATGACACCTATGGCCCTGGTATCAATTTTTACAAAGCATTTATTAAAGATCTGGTAACTCTGTTATTGAGAATAATTAAAGAATAATATATTACCTGATTCAATATACGCGGCAAATACTTCTGACCTTTTACGAAAATCTTAGCGAACAGATTTAATAAACATGTTGCAACTAGAATGCACTTGGATCAGGTGGGGTTTACTCCCAGGATATTTTCTTTTTTTATTTCTTTAGATTACTAAATATTGTGTACAGCAAACAAAATAAACCCAAATATGCAGTAGCCTACTTATGCTTGATGCTCACAAGGCATTTGATCAGGTTGATTTGATGTATATGTTGCTGACGATCTGAGAATTTGGTCTGGGTGATAGCTTTAGTTCATGGGTTGCAGCCTGAAAAATCCATTCTTCTGTATTGGACCAATGTTTTGGAAATCTGTCAGGTCATGATTTAAATAAAAAATGTGAACTTAAGCCTATTCTAGATGTGGTCATTACAATGTGATCTGCATAGTCATGGAGACACACAATCATAGTGTTTGTGGCCACTGCCTGCTGATTTTGGACACATTAATTTCCACCCTGTTTAAAGATTGGCGTTTTGTGCTCAAACAAATTAGCATGTGACTTTTTGCATGTGTACAAACAATCCTTTAGAGCAAGGGTAACCAATTAAAAATCAGCGGGGTCCGAATGAAGAAAATCATCAACTACCAAAGGTCCAGAGACATTTTTAATTATAATCTGTTACTTTAAACACAATTTAACACTGAAATAAAATTAGATTTTTATACATCTATGTTATATATTCAATTTACGGTAATAAAAACAAAATAGAAAAATTTTCTATTTTAAAATCTAAAATGTTTTTTTTTTGAGTAGAGAACAAGAAAATTTCAGTTTGGTATATAGACAATTTATTTTATAAAACACTTGAACTGACTCTCTGTTATTTTTTGCTTTCTGTTATTCTGTCTTAATGAGAGCAGTGGGCTTTACACTAACCTGCAAGACTTGAATTGTGACAAATGTATTCTCAAGCACATAATCAAGGTGCCTTTTGTGAGCCTTGATCATTATCTATTTTTGATTATGGTCATGGTGGGGGATCCTGCTTCACAGCAGAAGGTTGAGCCAAACATACTGAAAATGTGCAGGGTCATCTTTGAAGATGCCATTTCACCTTTCTTTCACTAGTTCACCACGCATCTTCCAGCAGTTCACACTTTCTCTGTTCTCTTTTCTGCTTGCCAAAGGTTTGCTTGCTGTATCTAAAAGTGGCCAGCAGCAGTGACCCAGACTGACACAGCTAATTGTCTAATTTGTATCACGTGTAGCTTGGTGCCGGATGCTCCAGAGGGCTTTACCATATTCACAGGAGAAGTGACGGAAGTGAAGACACTGTCGTCAACAAAACATGTGGTAATTTGTAAATGTTTTAAATCAGGTTGGGTCCGGATTAGCCAGCAGGTGGGCCCGGATTCGTACCACGGTCTGCTACTACGGGACCTCTGCTTCAGAGGATCAGTCCCATATTGTTGTTACATTAAGAGTATTTCTGTAATTTGTTGTTGTTGAGCCTGGTTCTGCTGGAGGTTTCTTCCTGTGAAAAGGGAGTTTTTCCTCTCCACTGTTGCTACAAGCATGCTTACAGTAGTGTGAGGGATTGCATTCGAGTCAATGAGTCGATGCAATCAACTGGTTTTCCTTACATAGAAAACGTTAAATCGATTTTACTGGATGATCTGGTGAACTGTAAACTGCCTTGAGGTGAAATGTGTTGTGAATTGGCGCTATATAAATAAACTGAATTGAATTAAATCGTTAAATTCAACTCAAGCAATCTAATTGTTTTTCTTTTTGAGCCAGGTAACCCTTTTAAAACAGATTTTTGTGGCTCCAGTTGGACTTTTAAGTGAAATAAAGGTGTAAAATATCATTGATATAATTACACAAATCAGACTGATTGTTTTATTACCTTTACAGTAGAAAACTCTGTTTTATAACTTACTAACAATAGTAAAGATTGGTCTTTAGTTTAAACAAATAATAATGTGAACATATAAATGATAAAACAAAATGACCAATTCTAAAGACATTTCTTACTTTCCTCCAGCAGAGTAAGCAGGTTCTCAATTCTCGCTGTGCTGAGTTCCCCACTGTCAGCAACATCCTGAAGCATGCCTACAGCAGGCTGGACACAGCTCCTCACCAGATCTGTTGTATCAAAAATACCTCCCAAAACCTGAATAATAAAACAAATGCAAGTACAAAATAAAAAATATAAAAAAAGATTTTTGCCAGATGGATATTAGATAGTAAACTGAATATCTGTTTTGTAATATTATTAACACAAGTGGAAATATGAATGAATGAAAGCTAGATAGCTAAATTATCCCCATGTTACATACTTTAATTTGCCAATGATAATTAGAAATGGTTTAAGTCTTATGAGTTTGCAACTTTGCATCAAAAATTGTGCACAAAATATTTGTTTTCCTGTTACTACTTACTGTATGCCCTTAGTTAATGTAAAATTGATCTTTTTTTCAATGCAGACACTGACTTCTTCGATAGCATAGTTTTAATTTTAGAAGATTTTTCATTCTCAAATTGAAAGATTCGGTATTTTCTATAAAAATCAGCATTAATTTTGAACCATTGAGATTTGTACATGAGTAAAGAATGTTACTTACAGAAAAGTTTTCATTTTGAGGCTTTTCAAGTTGATCTTCAGTTTTCATGGCTTTGGAGAAGAGATAAAAAGTGTATTTATTCAGCTAAAATTAAATTTCCGATGTATAAATACCCTGTTAAATAATAGCAATATAAATTACCCTTGGGTGGATCTTTAAATAGATCACTAATATGCATCTTTTTCAAGGAATGAACATCAGAAACAAACTCCCTTGATCTTCTGAGATCATCAATATGAATAGACCTCCAGGGATCTGTAAATAATTTCATAAGCTTGGTTTATTTTTAGTATTCTGTTATTTAATTTCTTTTTGAGAGGCACAACATGCAAGTTTATGGTACATATGCTTTGATATATTTTATTATTAATAGCAGAAGCAGGGTAATGTGCAAATATGAAATGCTTGCTGAGATAAAAGACTTTATAATTGTGTTTAAGAGGATGACTAACCGCCTTGAAATCCTATATAGGAAGTCCCTCCTTCCATTCGAGGAAGTTTTGTCACAAAGAACACACATGTCTTTGCATCATCTTTAGTGAGGCACTTGTATATCTCATTGACACAGGAGTACCTGATAAGTGCAAAAGGATTTATTACAGGAATGAACAGAAAATAATCAGCTGAGATTTTGCCTCCAAAAATGAAAAAGTGGGATATTTTTACTCACTTGGCTGATGAGACAATATTTCTTTTTTGAAGGTCATCCTCAAACTCGTTTTGGACAATAAGCACTTTGTCCAAGTGTGTTGAGCCAATAAATCCCCTAATGGCAAGACATTGTCATAATGTATTTTATGAAATACAATACAGCTGTAAATATTAAAAGCCTCACAATTGTCCCTTAAACAATTAGCACTCAAGAAGAGCAAAAGAGTGTTCTTTGTTCACTTGGATTAAAATGATAAAGAATGATTAAGAAGATAAATAAAATTATTTATGTTATAGATACATACCTTATTGCTTTAAGGAAAGAGTACTCTGTGTCAAACTGGAGGAGAGATAGCAGCTTAACAGCACGACATTTTATCTCATTCTGCAGTTGTTCAGCATTGGCTGCTGTAAGAAGTCGGGAAAAGGTTGTCACCTAAAATAAAAAGAAGAAAATCACTTTAAAACCCATAATGTAATCCGTTTTATTGTGTATGAAATAAATTTAAACATTTTAAAGCATAATTTTATTTGATACCACAAAAATGTAAAGCTTATATGCATATCAGCTTTTAAGAGGAGCTTTCAAACAATTAATATTTTGCAGAGTTTACTCAACATAACAAATTATATATAAAGGAAATGTCTGCAAAAATGTGAAGGACTTGCAGCACAGGAATATATAAAGTCTCAAAAGGTTGAAGCAAGACTAATAATATCAATGTAGATTCAATAAAAAAAAATCTAATTTCAACTAAACAATTCCCAAAGTTACAATGAGGTGGAAAACTTTTTAAATTTCATAAAAAAGAAAATAAACAAATATTACCTCAGTGAATGACACTTGTGATTGCTCAAACTCTTTTATGTGATATGCAATGTAGTCTCCAAGAGATCTGTGCCTATCCTCTTTGGCATACTCCTTTATCCAAAGTTCTCTTTCATCATCAGAGAGATGAGATTTGTCCAAACGAACTACTGAGTCTGGAGTTGCACAGTTGAGCATAACAGTTTTGGCTTTGTTCAAAGTGTCTTGAACATCTGTTCCATCACTTTCATCCTTGGTCACTTGAAGGACCACAGAGGCACAGGTGTCTGAGTGGTAGCCAATGAAAACATCTCCTGGAGAATAGTCCTTACTTGTGGAGAACTCATGTTCTACTGCGATGAAATTCTTAACCCAGTTCCATAATTCATTAGCAATGTTCCGCTGTCCCAATTTGAGGACAGTGTTGATGTCTAGGCAGTGCTTCTCCAACCTGTTGATAAGTGGGATTGGAAACTGCTCATACACCACTTCTTTTTCTTCAATGACAATGAGCCTGAAATTTGGATGAACTCTGCATTTCACGCGATGTGTTCCTAATCCAAGATCAACATACTTCTGACCCCCTAGAGTCACATAGTATTGGTTGAGTGCATCATACAGGCTTTCATACAGATTCTGTAAGTTCAGGAGCACAACTGTCTGTCCTGTCTCCATGCAAATTTTGATACGATTGATGTTCCTACAAATCTGCATGTACTCCTGGTCCTTTGAGAAGCTGGATCCAAAAATGATCTCTGGATGGATATGATGAGAAGAGAATATTTGTTGCAGAATCTGAAGTGCTGCATAGTTCTTGGTTAGGATTAACAAGTATCGATTTTCCTCCATTTTGCAAGATGGGAGAACACTTTGTTTTATCATTTCGGTGGTGCTGGTGTTGGTATTGGAAAGGTCCAGACAGAATACGTTTGAGAAAATGTCAATCACTTTAACATCATCTTTTCCACTAAAGTTTCTTAGAACTGCTCCAGCGATTTCATCAGTAGTTGGGCTCTCATTTGAGATTTTAGTGATTAAAAATATCATTTTTATCAAACTGTAAAAGTCCCTTAGACCAAAGAAGCCTTTGCCCTCTTTGCGTGCTATCTCATATGCTTTTGCAAATGGTTCAAAAAGATGTTTTATCTTCTGAAGAATGTTTTTTTCAGATGCACAGATTCCTTCAGCACTTTTAATAAGTTCTTTCTCACTTAAATCTCCCCGGGAAACAAAGATCCCACGATTCATTTTGGCAGGATCCAGTGCCCAGTTGGAAATTCCAATGAAACCAACCCTCTGATGAGGCTGTGGCTTTTCATCAACACATCCCTCTTCTAGTAATGGATGCAGTGTTTTCAATGGCATTTTCGGGGAATCCTCAGCTAACCCTATTTCATCAAGAACAACTACTGAGGTGTATTCATCCAGATTTTTGCTCTCTTGAAACCGGGCGCACTGTTTGAATGTGCGAATGATTCCTTCAGGAGTTGAATGGGGACTGCACTGGAAAGACACTAGATGTATCTGCTTAAGTCTCTTAAACAGGTCAGAGTGTGCTGTAGGGCCTTGCATAGCATCTGCAATCAGGGTTTTAGACAGGGATTTAGAGCTCCCTGGTTTCCCAACAATAAACAAGGGAATTCTTAGCTCAATGCAAATTACCATCATAAAGAAGTTCTCTCTCAAAGCTTCATTTCTGGCTATTGTCTTACCCAGGGGTACCCCACTTAGTAGAAGTTCTTGCATGAGATGAATTTCCTGCTGTATTCTTTGTGGTTTGTACTCTCTTGTAAGTAGTTCACTAATAGCTTTCTGATACTGTCCTTTACTCTCGAGGCAAGACTGATAGCATACTCCGGTTGCCATCAAGAGTGACCAGACAACTCTGTCACTAGCAGGGGAAAAATGTGGTATTTCTCTCATTTTATTTTTTTGTTGCAGTGACGTAAGATGATTTTTAAACATAGAGTGATTCTTGTGGAACCACACAAAAACTTGCATGCAACGTTCAACATCTCTCAGACTGACAAAACTACATTCATCGTTCTTCTCCCTCATGAACTGTTGTGATAATGAGCACACATTAGATATCATTGGAATGTGCCGTTCCTCAATCAAGTTGGCTTCTGCCTGCCTTTGAACAATTTGTTTGATATACATTTTTTCAGCTAAATCACTGAGTTGCCCAAAATCCCAAACAAGTGGAATCAAGCTAGGTGGTAACACATGGACACGATACACAAGCTGGCGAAGAGGAATGGAGCCCAGTTTTTCTTGTGTTTCCTGAGCATGGACCCTGTAGCCCAATCCAGAGGCCTCTAGCCTTTCAATCATTTCAGCTGTATGTTTTTTGTATGGGTTGCATGCAGCAATAATCTGCAGCCCTGTTTGAGTTTCTAGGCTTTTTCCTTGAACGGAGTGATCACAGATAATCTCTTTGATGCTGGTGATGGCTTCTGTTGTGTTTGCTTCGTCAAAGAAAAGAACAGAGTTGAATTTATGATTTTCTTTGTTTGACTTTGCTAGACCTTCTGCTTCAACCACTTTATCATAAATCATTTTACATGTTGTTCCTCCATGAACCTTGACGAGTTTCATGTTCTCTGCTGGAGCGCCACACCTTTGCAGTTCACACATAAACTTTATAAGTCTTGTCTTTCCACATCCGGTCTCACCCATTATTATGACTGGGATACCACACCTAAATCGCATGTGAATTGCCATCATTTTGAGGATGTTGTCTGTTGTCAGTTCATAGGTTTCATCAGGATCTGTTGGACATTTGATTCCAAGAACACGGCACAGATGTTCAATCTTGTCAGCTCTAGGGAGCTGATCAAAATCTACGTTAAAGGGGACTCTTTGATGTTTTAGCCCCCTGTAAAGATTTTGAGTCATGATGTTTTCTTTAATTACTTTTCCTGTCGAGGGATTTATGGCATTAAGTCCTTTTTGGCCATTGCTCTTCAAATGAAAGCCTATGAAGGTCATGGATGTGTGATCATCATTAAAAAGGATGTATGGATGAGGTTCAGATTCCCATCTTTTCCGAATAAGGAATGGAGCTAAGTCTTTTTCATTTACTCCTGTTAAGTCAGCTTGTTTTCTTCCAAGGCTCTCATCAGAGATGCATAAGGATGGGGTTGCAAAGTCTTTGGACATTAAGATCATAAACTCAATTACAAAGTTTTTGAACCCTTGAAGGGTGTCTCCAACAAACTCAGCATTACAGAACACTGAATTTTCACAGTCTTGCAACTGAAGATTAAGAAACCAAACAAAATTGCGAAGCTCTGCCCATGATGGATCCAGTACACCACAGTAGAATAAGAATATTTGAAGACAATTCGAATGAGTTCCTTCAATACCGTTGTAAGAGAACTTGTCAAGATTCTCATTATTGTGAAAACGTTTGAGGTACTGGTATGGTCTCTGAAAAGCTTCATTCTGGAAACACTCATCATCCATAAGTGGGTCATCATTTTCAGTGGAAAGATTTTCCTCCCTCTGCATTTCCAAAGCCATGACCTCTTTGGGAGGTCGACAAAACACGTTTGGGAAAACATCAGGGAATGCAAAGTTTCCCTTTTGACCCTAAAGGTACAGAAACATAATGATTTACACCAATACAAAAGCTTTCATACAGTGCATCACATCATTATACAAATTAAACTTCTCTTTTAAAAGCTAACTGTTCAAAGTACAGCAGTTATTTGTACTGTGTAAAACATATTTTTTGTTAAAAAATTCTTGATGTCTAAAAGAAAGCAAATGAAACTAATTGTTAATGACCACAAATATTTTTGTTCTGAAAAATACTACGTTTTTTTTTTCTATATTCCACAATAAAAAAAAATAAAAAATTAAAGCCGCAAGTAGGATTGGGCGGCCCTCAAAGCGCAGCGCCACTTGGCCTATTGCGACCGCACGTTACCTTTTGATTTACTACCAAATGACCAATTTTGACTCTTGGCCATGCCTACGTGCTTTGATGTAGAAAACTTCCTTTAATAACTTTTGATCCCCAATGCCTAAGGATAATATACAGGGAATCTGCAGTATGTAACTCAAAACCTATAGGAGGAGTTTGTTTAAATATAGATGCTATAATGTGCAAATTCACAGTGAAGATTTGAACTTCAATCCAAAAAATGCCAAATTCCTGTGGGGTTCGGACCATGGCTCCAAGAGAGTTTTTCATAGGGTGTTGGTGGGTTACACGTGTGCCAAGTTTCATAATTCTCAGTATTTGCATGGCTCGGGGCTTGTTGTTTTAGTCTCTCTAGGGCAGGGGTAACCAATTAAAAATCAGCGAGGTCCAAAAAAAAAAAAAAAAAAAAACAACAAAAAAACAGAGGCAGACATAATTATAAACCTGTAACTTAAAAAAAAATTAAAAACGGAAAAAAAAGGAAGCAAAACCCCAAAAAGAAGTTTGTTAAAGTTCGATATGAGCAAAAATGAAAAATGGCCAAAAATCCTTCTTTGACCAAAAATGGCTGCATCCTGTGGGTTTTCGGGCATACCTCCAAGAGAATTTTTTCAAGAATTTGAGAAAACCAACCTTGGAAAGAAAAATCAAAACCCCAAGAACTAAGGGTTGACCCTTTTGGAATCCAATAAAAACAAGCAAATTCAAAAGGGGGAAAAACTTTGGCAAAAGTACAAGAGTTTTCATCCATGTTAAGGCCCCCTAAAATCCATCCTTCAAGGCAAAAGAATAATAAGAATCTTACAAAATAAAATAGGCCTTCGAAGCCCTTTACTGCTCAGGCCTACTAATTATTCATATAAAAGTTTTGCTTCTATTTTCTTTAAATTATGAGGTTTATAAGAGGTTAATTTGTTAATTTCTGCCTATGCTCAAAAACAAACAAAGCCGATTTTTCCTTTCTTTCTATGTGGCCTAATAATTGACTCCAAAACTCCCCTCTGCAGAGTTTTGGTAAAAATTTCTTTCAAGTAAAAAGGTAAAAGTTATACAGCTTCACAGAAAAAAACAAAACTGAGACTTCTATCCAGAAAAATCCTTAAACTTACCAATCTTGTGCCACACCTGACTTGATCATTTGTGGTTTCTGTTAATTCCATGACAAAAAGGTGTTTATCAAAACAGTGCCACATTTGCCCATCTGAATCTATCAGGTACCGTAAAAAGAACAACTTGAAAATTAATTCGTCTAGGCCTTTTTGTACCTGAGAATGACATTTTAAAAAGAAAAAAGAAAACTCATTAGGATTATGCATCACCCAAGTCAGAGTCAAACTTATATAGAACAACATTAACCCTGTAAGTATAATACAGTTAAATCTAAATAAAAATGAAGTATTGTGAAAAGCTATAACAAAATTGCTTCTCATTTTTTATTAAAACAATATAATATCAAAATCGTACCAAGGTGGAGATATTTCAAGCTGTTATTTTATAACTTAATTTTTTATGCTTACAGATAATAAGGCATAAACATTCAAAAGCAAAAAAAAGTGGTTGGGGGTTGTTGGCCTAGTTAGGGGGAGTGTTGGCCTGGTGGTTAAAGCAGTGCGCTTGTGCTCTGAGAAGGTCGTAAGTATCCTGTTTGAATCCCACCGCCTGCACTCTGGGTCCCTGAGCAAAACCCTTAACCCCACACATCTCCCCAGCCACAACACAATGGCAGCCCACTGCTCCCCAAGGGGATGGGTTAAATGCAGAGCAAAATTTCTCTAGTGTGAGATCAATAAAGTTAAACTAATAATATTAAATGGTGGTCTTATTTTTGCAATGGAAAGCAAATTCCATTCAACAACTTAAGGGTGCTTTCCTGTGAGGATTGGGGTTCCATGTCATCTGGTGTCTTTGGTCAACTTTTCTGTCCGACACCCAAATCACAGCCATACACTAGGAAATTTGGAGCAACTCATGCCTCCTTCAGATGATAGATTTTATGCAGATACTGATTTCATTTTTTAGCTGGTACAAGGGTTTCACAACACCTACCTGCTTATGTGAAACTCGCCCTTAATATGATAAGTATTGCAAAACAAGCCCCATTCAACTGAAGGCCAACATTTCAACTTGCACTTTTTTTCTCTAGAATAGAAAAGAATAGAATTCAACTTTATTGTCATTACACTATTATAAGTACAAAGCAACAAAATTTTGTTTGAATCTATCCAGAAGTGCTATACAGGATATAAATTTTAATTTACATGTGCACTATGAATGTATTGAATGTGTATGTGAGGACCATCCATATGTTATTGTTCTCTGTTAGTAATGATCATTGTACTGTTCAATTTATTTATTTGGGTTTTTCTTTTTCTTTAAGCCATGATCATCAAAAGTACAAGAAAAATAAGGCATTATTTATCACTTTATATTATAACTAGGCAATATATGAGATTTCACTTCTAAACTGAATGACAAATAGTACACACTCTTTACATAACATTGTAAATATTTAAATGTACTTATCTATGACACCCCTTACCGAAGATGTTACATCAAGGTGAAAAACCTTAATATCTTTTTGCTTTGGAGTGTCGTACAAAGACTTGAGAACTTGATGGTAATCGATTTCCTTTTCGGTGAGGCGAATGCACTTTTTATAAGCTGTTCCCTGTTCAACATTTCTTTCCAGATTTTCATACATCCTTTGAATATACAGGGACTTGCCTAAAAATAATAATAAAACAAATTCTGGTTTAATGGAATATAGTCTTACCAATAATGACAAGGAACAAAGATGTCAACATTAACAATTATATATTGATTGATCTTATATGTAAACTTACCAACACCCGCACGATTTGATGAGACAATGCCAACAGTATAGCCACCTTTAAACATAGCTTCCTTTAGCTCTGAGGGGGATGACAAATGCCTGGACAAATACTTTTGAATATTTTCCAATGGCTCTATAGGTACATAGTCTCTTTTAAACTGACCAAAAGCAGTTGGAATATAGGTGTGTTCTCTCTCAGAGCTACAATATATCACAAGCTTGTAATCATGATGGCTAAATTGACTGCTCAGTTTCTGAAAAAAGTTCTCCATTGCGCAGCTGACATCATATGTTAGTTGGTCTGCCCAAATCATTGTGTAAATCTTCCGGTCAACATCACCTGGTGTGAGACATCTCCTCAGGAATAGCTCTACCTGTTCACAGGATGTTGTTGGGGTACACAAGAGCACTTCATCATAACTTGGTAGTGGCTCATATTCACTGTTCATGTACAAGCAGATGCTTGAAGTCAGAGCCTGGTCATGTGGGCAGATTAGGAGATTTGGTTGTTTTGGGATGAGCCCTTTTGGGAGACTTCTTCTTAGAGTTTTATCTTTTTCAGATAGCACTGGCTGTTCCAATTCATTTTGATCTTTGTTTTCTGAACTAGCCATCATTGTAAATAAATGCCCCAAACTACGCATGTCCAAAAGGTCATTGAAAAACATTTCCTCATTTATGATGAATTTTCTCCACAAATCTTCCAATTCTGTTAGACCAGCAGTCTGGTCTGTATTTTCTACTGAGTCTTCATGTGTTAAACGGCTAAAGAAGACTGTAGATTGGTCATCTTTTTCATTATGTATTTTTTTACACTCAAATTGGTTGGAGAGTCTGTGCCATGTACTCCAGACATCTGAACTTGAGCAGTTCAGTTTGATGAAAGAAAGCATCATCAGTGCTTGCTCATCTAATTCTGTATTAACATTTGGAGGACTCAGGACACTGCATAGATGGAATATTTGCTCTGCTGTAAAGAAGTTTAAATGAAAGTGATCAGATCTAACTTTGTTCACAAAGTTTTTCCAATCACAAATAAACAGCTCCATCTTCCTGGATAGTGCTTCAAGTTGGTCAGTCACGCTTCCATTTATTTCAATAGTAAATGTCTTGCAAAAGTTGATTTCCATGTAGATACATTGGTCACTTTGACTTTTGCAAAAGATCTTTGCTTCCCAGCATCGGAAGAGTGGATTCCCTGCAGCATGAAGATCTACAAATGCTGTGGCAAGTCTCTGGACATTTTCAAAAACCTAAATATAAAGAACATGTATTACTACAATTAATAGAAAATCATAGATAATCAAAGACATGTGCAAATGTATAGACATTAAATAGGATATTAATATTAAAACTGGGTTTACAGGAGAAAAGATATGTATAGTAATCCTATTTTAAATTATAAGGAGTTTATCATCAACATCAAACCAGCTTCTTCTCCAGTGTAATCACTGCCAATAACAGAAACTCCACGTATCGGTTTTCCCTATTAAATCACATCAACCAACCTCTGTACTCTCTACAACCTCACTTGTATCCACCCTTCTTTTGCAACTCCATTATGTCATATTAGCAGAACAAAAATAAAAAACACCCACTAGCACCTTTGTTCTATACCTCATTTTAGCTTCTTGCTAAACAATCACCTATGCACAGATTCCTTCCCACCTTTTCAGCTCCCTGTTCTAAGAAAATACAATACTTATCTGAAAATACAAGTTCTCAACTCATCTAAAACCAAAAATCGTCCTAATACTTTCTTTACTTATGAGCCAATACAACCTCAAAGCCCATGAAGTGAGCCAATAGATTAAACTATGCACATATAAAGACACATTTACACATACATATTTACCCACACACATTTTATTCATATTATTATTACCCATAGCTCACACGACCACAACCATAGCAAGAAAATATGTATGCATCCATGTGCACTATTCAAAAAACTTAAAGGAACTTTGTAGTCAGAGTATAGCATCAAGTTAATTAAACTTCTGGGATATTGATTTGGTCAGGTAAGTAGCAGAGGGTGTTGTCAATCAGTTTCAGCTGCTTTGGTGTTAATGAAATTAACAACAGGTGCACTAGAGGGGCAACAACGAGACAACTATCAAAACAGGAATGGTTTTACAGGTGGAGGCCACTGACATGTTTTCCCCTCCTCATCTTTTCACCAGTTTTACATTTGGCTAGGGTAACTGTCACTACTGTCAGTATTAAGCGCATCCTGGACTCTACAGAGGTTGCACAGACAGTCCGACTCCTCCAGGATGGCACATCAATACGTGCCATTGCCAGAAGGTTTGCGGTGTCTCCCAGCACAATCTCAAGACCAGGGAGGAGATTCCAGGAGACGGGCAGTTACTCCAGGAGAGCTGGACAGGGCCGTAGAAGGTCTACAACCCATCAGCAGGACCGGTATCTGCTCCTTTGTGCAAGGAGGAGCATGAGAAGCACTGCCAGAGCCCTACAAAATGACATCCAGCAGGCCACTGGTGTGAATGTCTCTGACCAAACAATCAGAAAAAGACTTCACAAGGGTGGCCTGAGGGCCCGACGTCCTCTAGTGGGCCCTGTGCTCACTGCCCGGCACCGTGGAGCTTGATTGGCATTTGCCACAGAACACCAGAATTTGCAAGTGCCCTGTGCTTTTCATAGACGAGAGCAGGTTCACCCTGAGCATATGAGACAGGCGTAAAAGGGTCTGGAGAAACTGTGGAGAATGTAATGCTTCCTGTAACATCGTTTAGCATGACTGGTTTGGTGGTGGGTCAGTGATGGTCTGGGCAGACATATCCATGGAGGAATGCACAGACCTATACAGGCTAGACAACGGCACCCTGACTGCCATTAAGTATCGGGATGAAATCCTTGCATCCATTGTCAAACCCCAATGCTGGTGCAGTGGGTCCTGGGTTCCTCCTGGTGCATGACAATGCCCAGCCTCATGTGGCGAGAGTATGCAGGCAGTTCCTGGAGGATGAAGGAATTGATACCATTGATTGGCCCCCACGCTCGCCTGACCTAAATCCAATAGAAAACCTCTGGGACATTGTGTTTCGATCCATCCAACGCTGTCAGGTTGCACCTCAGACTGTCCAGGAGCTCAGTGATGCCCTGGTGGAGGAGGAGGAGATACCCCAGGACGCCATCTTTCGTCTCATTAGGAGCATGCCCCGACGTTGTCAGGCATGCATACACGCACATGGGGGCCATAAATAATTACTGCATATCATTTTGAGTTACTGCAATTAAATTTCAGCAAAATGGACTAGCCTGCTGCATCATTTTTTCACTGTAATTTTTGGGGTGTATTTGAATTCAGCCCTCTGTAGGTTGATAATTTTCATTTCCATCAGATGATGTGACATCTTTTTGTTCCTAACACATCAACCAGTCCATATCAGTATAAATAAACAGCATGATTTTTTCCCCCATTGAGATCTGATGTGTTTTCAAAGTGTTCCTTTAATTTTTTTGAGCAGTGTATAATGACCAAGAATACTCTTTCATATTCACTGTTCACATATTCACATATTCCCATCTCATATCATTTTAAAAAACCCGAAAAAAAAACACAGCACGCTGTTATCCCAGTAAGGACACTGCCTATTCCTGTTTGCTATTGGTTGATCTGTTCTTAAAATATTGCTTTTCTGGTCTTTATTCTTACTGACTGTATATTATTGTATGGTTTCCTTGAGTGCCAAGAAGGGCATCTTTATTTGTTTTCTAATCAGAATTCAATGTTATTATTACATGGTTATAAAAACATGAAATCAATTAACCAAACCTCAGTGAATCGTTCCACTTCCTTTTGATTTTGTTGTTTTTTCCCAGACATAAGCATGAGCTTGTTTTGAAGCTCTTTCAGATCCTCATAGTTATATGTCAAACTTCGTCCTTCTCTATCTTGAATCTGAAGTTTCAGGGAAGTCTCCAAAGTAGGCTGCAGAAGAAAAAGCAAATTTTGTTGTAAAATTTTGCAAACAATCTTAAATGTTTTTGGAGTTTATCAATTTTGTGCTTTCTTTGAGATTGCCATATATATATATATATATATATATATATATATATATATATATATATATATATATATATATATCCAGTCAACCAAAATATTTATAACTTAGATATATCATTCTGTAAGCAGTGCATCATGGCCTATTATTTAGGCCTACTGTTCAA